TCAAAATGCACCAAAATAAATTATTTTAGAAGGCAACACCGCTTCACTACGCCACAGCTAGTGAAGAGATTGCACCCGAGACGGCTTTATCCATTTTACATGTTTTACTAAAACATGGAGCCAAACCTAATAGCCGAGATGTTGACGAAAGAACACCCATACTTTGGGCCGCAAGCAATGGTCAGTCATTCAAATTCGCGCCATCATAATAATGGCAACGAACTCTATTTCGAGATTAAATGGCTACTTTTAGGAAACTTGGAAGCCATGCACTCCTTACGACAAGCAGGTGGCGACCTCAAGGCTGTGGATCGTGACAGCCTTGGAGTTATACACTGCGCAGCTAGTCATGGATACCACGAGGTGTGCAAGAATATACTCCCAAGTTTGCCGATGGGGTAGAACAATGGCGGACGGAGGGGGCAGTGATAAAAACGATTAAGAAACCAAAGTAGTAAATAGTAGGTACAAAATTTGCGTACTGAATCAACAAAAAAGCGCTGCAACAACTCTTTTCAGCCTCAATATCCCTCGCTTCCCCTCATTCTTTTCATTCTTCTTCACTGCTCTCTTTTTTATAATAACGAACTCATTCTGGTGTATATATCAGCTAAAAATACCCAAACACGATCACTTTCTCCTGGGTATACTTATCATATGTCCCTATCAGCAAAAACAATGACTGTCGAACCCATTGTTTTCAGAGTTACATGTTTTTCTTTTACAATGCTCTGGTAATCCCCAAGACCTCGGGGCGGAGATTATTTTTCTTCAATACTAGACTAAAGCGATGAATTTCGAAATACCAAAGTTCTTGATTCTTGTGCTAGTGTTAAATAAGAAAAGGTAAATAAAGCAGTTAAGAGCCCACAATGGTCAATCTCAGTGCAAATCACTGAATTTCTCGGAAGCGAATAATTGGATCTTGTGTGGGTTTATCATATAAAGATATGTTTAGCAAAAAACAAGTCAAGACCCACGCACGATGATATCGAAAATAATAGAGTTTCAGTTAGTTGGACTTTTATGAAGTTTTTTGTTTTGTGCTTGCTTTTCCTCTTAGGAGTAAGCCATGCTGAATATT